TAATAAGAGATAAATGATTACATTACGAATATCATCCAGTTTATTGAGTCTCGGTCCAATACCACCGTGCATACAAAGAATTTTGCCTTGTACAAGGGCAGCGAGTGGCAGGTAATCGAACACGTCGTTGAACATCTTCCACAGTAAAAGTGCTTGCGACTCATTGAAACGATCCTTCAACTCTTGATAAAAACCGTAATTCTTATTGATGAACGCAGCTTCGTGGTTACCTCGCAATAAGTTGAACTGAAACTTTTCATTCGCCACACTTTAACCATACGAATTCTCATTCATAAAGTTCAAACAAACTTTCACATCCAATAAAATCGATTCAATTTTTCTACAAATGTACTACCCAAAATTTTCTTTTTTTCTCAAACTTCAAATCGCCCGAAGATCACTTTATTTGAGTGTCATTCCAATAAAAATTCTCTCCATTCACAGTATTAACATGTAACTATTTTTAAAAAATTGTACGGAACAATGAAACAATCGATGTAATAACGAATTCAAATGATATTAATGATAATAGTGACAGTAATGCAGTTGATAACGGTGAAAAATCATAATAGCAATAATATTGATGATTATAGTAATAATGATGGTTGTACTCAGTGAAGTGGATCAGAAAAATGACCATTTTTGGAAATGTGAGTTTGTAAGCGAACAGACAACAGATGCATTCGAGTGAATGCGGTCCTCGATCCACATAATCACCCAAAAATAAATACCGTCGCATTGTTGCACCACTACGACCATTTTTACCGGTCATTACGAACATTCTGTGCAAATCTTCATACTTAAATTCATTCTTTTATTTCATCGTCCATTAAGCGTGTTAAAAGTGAACAACTTCTTGGGGTAATTATGTTGACATTTGAGGTGAGCGGTGACTGCTTTGGTTGGTTGGTTGCTGTGTTTGGGTTGAGACATGCAAAGATTTGTTATGCAAGATCCGTCCGCCTCACAGCTGATTGGAGAGGTACGAATGAGCGAAACAGGAGAATTGTTAATTTGCAACGATATCTGATTCATGTGAACGTCGAGTAATCTGTCGATTATCCACTCGTTTATTCCGCTATGTAAATGAAAATATTCACCTCATGAAGCGTCTTCAGTGTTTCTTCAGTTGGATGAAGGCAATCAGTTAGAACTGTATCATAATCACTAACACTTTTCGTACCAATAAAAGGTCATCATATTTGTGTGCTCCTTCAAAGAGTTACGACAAACCTGGCCATGAATATCACCGACGATAACACACGGAGCTCGTACTTCAATAAGACTACCTTCGGCTGAGATCATATCTTTCATTTCTCTGATTATTGAAAATAAGTCTTTTGCTTTATAGTGTATGTCTGAATTATAAATCACAATAAATAAATTTTTACATGAGGAGCTGACTTTTGCATGAAGAGATGGAATTTCACGTGAAATGTTTCTGTTGGCTGATATCATGTTCAGCCGAGTAAGCGAAAAATGCTACTGAGATTCGATCGAAGTGAATAATCAGTTTCAAACCTTCTCCAGCTCTGAACTGCAGATGTTTCTTCAA